GCATTTGGAAAATGACAAAAGTAAGACATCGTGACAAATGTGAAAGACAGAGGCCTCAAGAATCACCAATTAACAAGATTCTATGATCTTACATTTCACAATGTCCAAGATATGCTTCTAAAACAAAGGGAAATGAAAAAGATAACGAACAGTGATCGATCTCAAAAACCTTACGAACAATACAGATCTGTGAAAAAGGTATATACATCACGAATCCCTGGAAATTCTAGAAGTGGGATCAGGTACAGAGAAAGTACTTGGCTACAGGAAAGGCAAAAAATAAACCTTGGATCCGCGAAAACACCTGTAATTAAGTAGATAGATGAAAGAAAAGACAGCAAGACAAAGATAGAGAGCATAAGATCAGAGTCTAGACTAGGTTGAAGGAAAATTATAGGGAGAAAGACAAAGCAGTCAGGAAAAGTGCCAGAGAACACAAGAGGAGATGGATGGCAGGGAAAGCTGAGCGAGCACAGAAAGCAGCCGAAAACAGGAGGCAGAAGGAACTGTACAGCATAGTAAAGCAGCTGACAAGGAAGAGTGATAAGCAAACAGCTGCGGTGAAGAGCAAAGATGGAGAGCTGCTGAAAAATAAAAAAGCGAGGCTTGCCAGATGGAGGGAACATTTAGAGGAAGTACTCAACCGAGACAATCTAGAGTCACCACCACAAGATGAACATGAGGAAGGAGAAGAGCTAGACATCTCAGTTGAGCCACCCACCACACAGGAAATAAGGACTGCACTGAAGGCGCTTTGGAATGGGACGGTCCCTGCAGCAGATCAAATAACTGCAGAAATGTTAAAGGCAGACCTCGATTAGAGGAGCCAGGAATTGAAGCACACCTTTGACCAGATATGGAAAGAGGAAAAGGTGCCCAAAGAATGGACTAGAAGACTGATCTGTAAAATTCCCAAGAGAGGCAACTTGACTGGACTGCAGGACTGGAGGGGAGTCACATTGCTGCCCCTAGCCAGCTTAGCACTCTGCAGGATCATCACCAGAATACAGGCTGGGGTTGACCGCACCCTTAGGAGAGAGCAGGCAGGGTTCCAGATAGGGAGAGGGATTGTCAATCAGATCTTCATCCTCAGGAACATCCTGGAGCAAGTCGACGCGAGTGGAATGCTACATCCATTTTGTGGACTTTGAGAAAGCTTTCGACTCGGTGCACAGAGACAGCCTTCGGGTCATCATGAAGAAAATGGAAAACCCATAAAACTGACTACGATAGTCAACGCCCTGTATGACAATTTTCAGTGTTCTGTGATTGATGACGAGTCCATAGACCCTTTCCCTGTGATGACTGGTGTCAAACAAGGATGCTGATATCAGGCTTCTTATTTCTCCTAGTGATAGACTGAGTGATGCAGAAGGCTGTCAGAGGAAAGAGAACAGGAATTAGACGGGACTTACTATGCTTGAAGACCTCGACTTCGCAGATGACATTCCCTATTGTTATCAGCAATGAACCATCTTCAGTCCAAGACAACAAATCTGGAAGAAAACTCTGCAAAAGTTAGGATGAAGTTGAATGCCAAGAAGTGCAAAGTGCTACCTGACAGTTGGAAACAGCAAAGAAGATGAGGTGGACGGCTTCACTTACCTCGGCGCCAATGTCACCAGTGACCAAGGAAGGAGGAACTACTGACATCAGGAAGAGGATAGCACTGGCCAGTGTATCCTTCAGGAGGCTAGCCAACATGTGGAACACTACAGACATCAGTAGAAAGATAAAAGTCTCCCTCTTTAAAAGCCTGGTCCTCTCTATATTGTTATACGGATGTGAGACTTGGAATCTTACGAAGACAGAGGAAAAGAAGATTGACATCTATCAGAGCAAGTGCCTCAGAGGGATCCTTAAGGTCAGATGGCAACCGCATATCCCAAACAAGACAGTCCTGGATATGTCAGAAGTAGAAGGCATCAGTGGCGAGGAGAGGAGGAGATGGAATTGGATCGGCCTTGTGCTTAGAAAGGACCTCACGGATGACTGCGTTGTGGCCCTCGGTTGGACGCCTGAACGGAGAAGGAAGCGAAACCGTCCCAGGCAATATGACGGCGGATCATGGAGGTGGAGCGAAATAAGGTAGGCTGGAACTCCTGGAACACAATACGCCGTGCAGCCTCAGACCGACCACAGTGGAAAAGAGATGTCCAGGCTTTGTGTGCCTCCTGGTACGGAGAGAATTAAGGTTAAGATGAGGATCAGGTGCCTAGGAGTTTTTGCTTTGAACATATAGTATTGATTCAATCAAAAGGATTGGAAAGAAGTTCTGTACAACTTACTAAGTTACTCGAAGGAGTAAGCATCCCCTGTTGACCAGGCACACCCACCTTGCGCCCTATAAATTAATCAGGTAGATAAAACATTCAGAAGTCCATTGCAGTATAAAAACAAAGGTCTAAAACTTGGTATGAAACAGGTCAGCCAAAAACGACCCAACAATAGGTTATATTTACTAAGATCAGGTCCGTTAGGACCACAGAATTCACGAAATGCAGATATTTGAAATCCCTTTTCCTCGGTTAAAAAATTAATGGTACTCGGAGCATGCTCTTGAGTATCGAATAGGTTGGGAGATGTAAACGCCATATGCAGGTGATAGCGGAATATTACTACATAAATAAAGAAAGCTGACGATGGAAAAGTTTATGGCATCTCGTTTGTCGAGCAATTTAGTTGTTAGTCGGCTCTTATCGTCTGAAGTCATTAAAACATCTACACAAGAAACAGATGTGGCAGATTTAATTGTGGTATTTTATTTCAGTTCCCTGGGATATATTAAATCGACATACAGTTTATGTTTGTTGTTTAACGTCCCTCTCGAGAATTTCTTACTCATATGGAGACGCCACCACTTGCCGGGGGAAGGCTACAAAATTCTGACCTATGCTTTGAAATCTAAATCATAAATGTCCAGTTGAAAGCTGAGCACCAAGTTTTTTCTTCTTTGAAGTTTCTGAATAAATTCTGCTTAATAGGAATATAAAAACAGATCAGCTAGTAAAGTAGCACAATTACTGTTCATTGGAATTCCAACAGTTAGTTAGAACATCTGGTTTCCGAAGACTAAATAATTGTAAATGATTTCAATGAGCAACTCATGCAAACATCGTTTTAATATCAACTTCAGAGTATTTGTGTGTAAGATTGATTTTAAGCAAAGTAATTTGTTGATGACCAGTCACAAGACCGGAAATTTCCTACTTCCATTTTTGTTTAAAAAACAGTTGTCTATAATATCAAATGTCTACTTTTAAATACCCTGTGAGGAATGGTTGTATAAAGCGTAGGAGTTATCGGTCGTCTTGATACTGTTGACACTTGCAAAAAAAAATAACGATTTTAATTTTTCCAATTGTTCTTGGGAATTTTTGAGAATCAACATGATATACACCACCGCTAAAATATGCTTCAGCAAAGCATGTCTGAAGTTTCTACTTGGTAGCAGTTAATTTTTTTGTAAGGAGTAAGGATTTGGGCTTTCTAGAGCATGCGCATTTGCTTGATCCTGCAAGCTGTTTGTAAGGAATCCAATATTTGAAGGGTAAATTGAACTCATCTTGGTTGACTGGAATGTTAAATGCTTCAAATACTGAAATGTGATTTTGAAGAATTTCACTTTTAGAAAGTAAATTGTACATGTGAAGCTGGTTTTCTTGAAGTAGAAGTAAAACCAAGTTCTTCTAAAATACAGTTATAATAACGATCTTACAAACAAATGGCTTTAAACCTTGTAATTTCGACTTATGTGTTATTAGCCTTTCTCGTTCTCATTTAAAATTGGTCTTACTCAGAGCATGCTCTTGAGTAGCAAATAAGTCGGGGAGATGTAAACACCATACGTAAGTGATACCAGGATAGTAAAATTTATAAAAATATATCTAAATAAAAGTAGTGCATTGTTTATTGACAAAATTTCCAAGCAATGTCAATTTCATAACTACAACATCAATAGAAATTTATCTACAATACACATTTATACACATGTATATATACATAATAAATATCCATTTTACATCGATATTAATAGAAATATACAGTAATGCGTCTTTTAAATTTGGTAAGGTAAAGATTCAGAAAATATATCAAACGAACATTAAAAAAAACAAGTTATTTAAAGTGGTTTAACCTGACAATCACACTTGGTATTTTATTTCAATACTTTAATGAAAGATATTTTTAAATGTATTTATATTCCCCCCAACCCCTTTGCTTCACAAAAATATTTGACTTTTTTTCATTTGTTCTAACTCAAAGATCGCTTTTTGTGACAATTCCATAGACAGAATTCGATTCTCAACCAAATCTACATTATTAAAAATTAATACTGGACCTGTTAGAGAAAATGCTATTTGTTAACACGCTGCCTTTGTAAGGCCATTTAAAAAATCTTCCTGTTTATTGATCACTAGACTACTACATGTAGTTATTTCAGGTTTATGGGAAGAGGGGATACTTTTCTGCAGACAATTTTAGTGTCTGAAGGGCAAAGAAATACGAACACATGGAATTAAAACAAAAAAAAAATAGCTTTCTATAAAATAATAAAAATCCTCCTTTTATTTCAAACTTACATCTGTTAAATAGAGGGACATTTGATTGTTTTTTGTTTCTAGAAATTCTTTGAAGATTACAATGGAATACGAGTATCTAATTGACCCTCATTAAATGGTTACTTCATATTTGGCCCCATTTCTAAATAAGACTATCACATCCCATTGCTCAATTAAACAAGCTTATTCATTTTGAACTTCTAAAACCACACACAAGATCCTTAGACCGGATCTACAAACCTTTTTAGGACATAAGCTCTCGTTATTATATATTTCATACTAATGCCAGAGAATTATAGTTTTCAAATGTACAAGTATTTAATAAAAATCATTTGCTAATGCAGAGACAAATTCACTATGAAAATACGAAAACAATGATATTTTTTAAGAGTATATAGAAAGTGTAACAAAATCATACGTCTCTCTTGTACAAAAAATAGAAAATTATGAAAATTTGAGATTAGAATCATTTACATCAAAAACTCCATTTTTACTTAAAATACATGTACTCTAATCTTGAATATAATTTGTTTGAATGGCTAATGATAATTAAAATTAAAATTAACGACAGACTATAGAAATCAAATTCAAAATTTTCATACTGCAAACTACATGCATTCAAACTAATGGCATCGTGTGTTCTTTCAGATTTTGCAAATGACTTAAATTAACCAGAGATAAGAAGTTATATATACATTTCATGGCAAAGATGCAAAATAGAAATTATTTGTTCACCTTTGTTTCACTATGGCTTTCGCATTGTTTTTAAGAAAACATTCTACATTATTGATTGTAAAAAATCCTACTTGGTAAAACCTTTTCTCACCTCAGAGTTTTACAGAAAATGCATTCATGTACGTATCTATTAAGAAAATAATTTTCACGCAAACACCTTATTTCAGCAAAACATTACTCTATTCGTTAGTATGCACAATCAATAAATTAATAAAAACTTTTAAAATACGGGAAAAACTTTTAAAATACGGGATTGAACTCTGAATGATTGAAAAGATAAAAATGAAAACGTTTTCTGAGAGAAAATGATACATTTTATCTCGAATCTCTTGTATTTAATATCATCAGGGAAGGTATGTGTAAGAAAGCAATGTTAGAACATAAGGAAATGATACATTCATAGATTAATGAAATATAGGTAATGTTTGAAATTTTAGATAGATATATATATATATATATATATTCATTTAAGTATCTCATTTTCCACTGATAAACGAAGACTGACAACTTTTAAGGTCAACAAAGAAACACATGCATATAAAACACAAAATGAAACATGTCTCATCTTTGACTGCACTTCCCTGATGATATCATTGGTTTTGTTGAGGACTACAATACAATTATTTTCACTGCGTTACATTGTTACTGAAATGATTGGTCTGTTTATGATCACCAGAACCATTTGACGTATCTTCCTCACTGATTTCTTCTTCATCTGAACTACGAATATCTGTAACTTCCTGAAATGGAAAGTAATTTTGGCGGTTAAAAAAATGCACAATTTTAAATAGGTTAAAAAACATATGGTCTTTTTAACCTAAATGAAAAATTGCAAAGTGGACTTATTTAATTACATGTAGTGGTCAAATTCATGAAGACTGACCCCCAAAAAACTAAGTTGATTTCAATTTACCAGAAATATAAGATACCGTTAATAATAATTTCAACATCTCTACTTATCATAAATATAAACATGATCATCAATATATAATAGTTTTTCACTTTATGCAAATAATAATAAAGAACCAATGGCTAACAACTAAATTACATTGCTGCAAAAAAAAAGTTTCCTGAACAGAATGACAGAAGGCACAAACTGAAATAAAAAAGGAAGCAGTTTCTTTTCAGGAATGAAATCTTGTAGACATTTCCTTGGATATAAGTACAAATCACCTGGACATATGTTATGACAATGTTAAAAATAATTTTGAGTGCAAACATTAAGTTTCTAGTATGCAAAAAAGGACAGAAAAAATAAAGGAGTCACAGGTTTTGTGTAGATGCTATTGTTATCTTGTAAGCTCACACTTTTATATGAGAAAAAAACTTATCTTTGATTATGCAAAAATTTGATGAATGATGTTTTGCTAAATTCAGATATGATGTACTCTTTATTTTTTTACATGTAAAGCTTCTGCAGTTATTAACAAATAAGAGGATCCATCTTGTCTGCAAAAAAATTATCAAGCAAATTCAAAGAATTGTAGTCCCCTGCTTTTGGTGTCTTAGTGGATGGGATGCAATTATTTATGGCATATTGTGTCAAATATGAACACCCTATCATATGTTATTCCAATGTGTTCTATCATATGTCATTCAAAAGTAATCACCTAAATTTAAAATTTGTGAAAATTAAGTCAAACATGAAAGTCAAGGGGTCTAAAATCAAAGCATGATCAGAAACTTCTTGTCACAAGTAATGCCAAATGTCAAATATGAAAGCTCTATCTCTTCTTAATCAAAAGTTCTAAATAAACATAATTATTTTTGAAAGGTAGGTCAAACTTCAAGGTCTAGGTCATGGGCTCAAAATTCATAGAATATTTAGAAAGGACTTGTCAAAGGTCATAAACATGTGTAAGATGAAAAGCCCTATCCTTTCTCTTTCAAAAGTCATGACCATGAAATTTAGAGTAATGTAAAAAAAAAAAAAAAAAAAAAAAATTGAATTAAGGTCAAACTTCCAAGGTGGAAAAAATCATGGTATATTTGGAAAGGTCTTGTCACAGGTAATGTACATATGAAATATGAAAGCCCCTTCTCTTCTCATTGAAGAGTTAGGATCAAGGTTTAAAATTTTGTGACAGACTGACAAACTGATCGACAGATGAATGAAATTTAATGTCCTCTCGCTTTCACTCAAAAAAATGAGCAATTCACAAAGTAGGTCATAATAACCTACTTTTTAGTAACACAGCCAGGAGCCCAACATATAATAAAACTGTTGCAAGGTCATATCTTGCAGCTACCAGGACCTCAAATTCTACTTTAATTTGTATAATTGAGAATTTTTATATCCTTAAAAGTAGCATAATCAAAAGATTGAACAGGATTTGTTAAAAAAAATCCTTATTAACAGAGATTTCTTTATAATGGAGTTCTTACAAATAATCCACTTTTAATGAACACATTTCTATTGATATTCAAAACCCCATATTAGATAGATAATAGAAACAAAGAAATCACTAGACAGTACCTGGTACCAATTTTAATTGCTTGGCTTTTACTAGCTAACTCCAGTTTGTTTCTTAAAATTTCTAATAAGATGACTAAGCTCTTTAAGATGAATTAGGAAAGCTTTTTATGGAAAATGACCCCTCCCCTTTCTACCCATTTTGTTCATGGCTTGACGTTTCTGAGAACTGGTGAGAGGTAAGTACTGTGCGATTGATCGTATGCTTAATATCTGTCAAAATACATACCTCTTTTTTATTCACCTGTTGACAATTTTGTTTGTATTACAAAAGTTATATGCATTTCTCATTTAACTCTCATTAAGATCGAATAATAAAAATGAATCACGAAATTTTTTTTAACCATATCTCTCTGATCAAGTTATATATTGTATTAATACTGTATGAGTGATGAGAAATATACCAGATAAATACACCGATTTATATACACAATTCCCACCACACACAGAAAGTGTCTGTCATGAAATCTTAATATGCTGTTGCAAATAATCAAATCCCATTACCCTATTTTTTTTTAATTTTAAGAATTTTTGAATTTATTTTCCTATTCAGAAAATTCATGAATCTAAAATTTGACATCAAACTTTTCCTTTTTTTTATCTCACTAAATTGTTATGAAATTCCTTGCTAATTGATAAGTAAAATAAGCAAGATAATACAAATCTTTTCCAGAAATAATTATTACATTAAAAAATTGAAAACTGCTGTATGTCATATTTTTTATTTTTTTTTTAAAACAATACTAAACATATATAAACAGAACAAAAATGAATGTGCCTGCTCTATCCCAAATCATTAAGTTTAGGAAATATTTATAGGCAACAGAAATGGATTTCTTGCAAAAAAATGAATAAGGAAAATTATTATTTAAAGAAAAGCTTTTTACATGCTTCTGTTAATACAAGGTGGTATATACAGTGTACATTTCTCAGAGAATTATTTTATATATGAGGAAATGAGAATGAAGAAAAAAAATTATTTTCTAAATTCCATTTTTTTTAAAAGCAGAAATGTCAAATTACCCTGAATTTCTCCTTGACCATAAATAAAGATCTTTTAAATATGCAAATTTACCCTATCAAAGATTTTAAAAGGTTCCTTTCATGAATATTATAAGGTGATGCACGCTATATTTCAGAGTGTGTCAAAAAAAAAATTGAAAGTTATTATAAAAGTAGAAGGATTTTTCTTTCAAGGGGGATATCAAGAGAAAGATAACCGTTTCCTCAATCATGGATACACAAGAACAGAATTTAAATATCCAAATGTTTAATTTTCTAGGAATAGAAATCAGAAAAGGCCACTTTTGCAATAAATAAACAAGTGCAGCATCTAATTCTACTTAAAAAAAAAAAAAAAAACAACCATGAAAGAGAAAGCGGTAGAAAACGCGATAGTTTCTTTACATACCTGTCCCTAAAACATAAAATAAAATATACCATATGAAGAAAAACAAATTTAAATCTATGTCAGAAAAAGCAATATGATCATAAATGTAGGATACAATGTAACACAGGCAAAGGAAAAATGGAAAATTTAAGTGAATGAAAAAATGTAATGATAATGCCCATTTTTTTCCCAGTAATTATAATATTAAATTTGAATATTTATAAAATTATTTTTCATTTCAAGAAGTTCCAAAAATGTCTTTCAATGTCTAACCTTTTCTATTAAAAGCAAATTTCAACTGTCCAAATTTTATACAGCAAATGAACAATTTTATTTCGAATGCATTTAATTAATTTCTATCTATATTTTAACTTGTACAATTCAGTTAGACATAAGCATCTTATAAAAATTTATCAACCTTCATAGGATTTTTTAATTAAAAAGTATGTTCTACTGAGAACATATTAATACATGTACCTAAAAAGATCCCAAGGCAAAGATACCTATTTAACACACAATCTATAGTCTGTCAGAAATTCTATACCTGTCGAAATTTTAGACTTCATATATTGTAAAGCCTGAATGTTTATCATTCTAGATAAACTCCAAAAAAAACCCCAGCATTTCCGAAAGTATGAAATTTAGATTGAAAAAAAAAAATCCAAAAAGGAGTCTGCGCAAGCACACTTACACAAAAAATGGTGATTTTTTGGCAAAAATGAAGGGTCTACATAAACTGTTTGTTTAAAGTTTATTTCCTGAATACAAGGAACCTTATTATATCTCAACTCAATAAGTTGGGTATGAATATAAGGAATAAAATATAAATTATAAGAATATTGAATTTCAAAAATTTTAAGGTCCTGGACTAAAAAAGTCCAGTAGGAGACAGACTATAGAATGTGGATATTTAATAAGACACCATCACCACTAACAGAGCTGATTTAGATAAAAACAAAGATTACATCAATATGGACACCTCCTACATACCAACCATTGATATTATTTATATAATGTAAACCATTTATCATAGGCAACAACTTTTTTTTCAATAGTTCTGCCTAAAACCTATACACTGTACCAGTTAACCAAATTTGCAAACAAAACTTATATATATATTAAAGAATTCAGATTACATTTGTTTTCAGGATATATTCGGACATTGCAGAATATTTTAAACACAATTTTCTTTTCCGAGCTCTGAAGTATATATATATATATATAAATATATAAATAAATGATAAGCATTGAACATGTTCAGCATGCAAGTTTTAAGCTTAATTAACAGTTGAGAAAAGGTTTTGTGTGTAGGAAGTGTCCAGAAACTTTATAATTATGAGCATGAAACACATACAATTGTTGTAGCAATGGTAAAGCATGATAAACAATTCCTATATATCTGATTTTTTTTTCTCTCTTTCAGATCAAAACTTTCAGTGAAATATGCCAATAAAACTATCAACATGTACATAAAATAATAAGGTCTAGTACATACTTCATTCATTTAAAGCAATACTGTTTTGTTTACAGAAAATGCATATCAGATAAAAAATTACTTTCTGAAATGTTGCTATCTCAAACAAGAAAAAATCAAAATCTTTGGAAAAAATAAAAGGGATGGTTTTCATTTATGAAAAGGATGTATTCGCTTTGACAAAAGAATTGACCTATAGGAGAGAACAATTTCCCGGAATAATTAATCTTTATTTATTGTTTTCTACCGTATATATGTCTAAATTTTTCAAATTTGTATTTTATACCTAAAATTTATTATTTATAACTTTACAATACACCTCCAAAGTTGGCCTAAACACCATTTTGTCCGAAAAAGTGTTGATTTTTTGCATGAATTTTGGCCTAGAAGTCCTTCAATGCAGGCCTGCCCCTAAATAAAATTGTGATATTTTGATAGGTTTGGATGTAAGGATTAATTTAAGATAGGATTTTTTTTAGGGGCACCCCTGCCCTAGGGTCGAAATTCACAAAAAACCTACAAAAAATAAGGAAACCTGATTTTGATAATCTACTTCAAATTTATACTGGTAAATGGTATAGTCAGACTAGCTCAGTTGATATATATGCTGACTATCACAGTGTGCATACTAATATTTTAAAGTCGGGGGTTCGAATCCACCTGGTACCACACTTTTAAATTTTCGCCTTTTCAAAGCCAATTTTATATTTTTTATAGCCTTGTGTATTTTCCTTCAATTGTATATCCTTTATGCATGCCCATTCTTGATATAAGAAACACGAAAGAGATATCAAATTGTGAAAATCCAATGTACAGTTGTCAGTCAGGCGGAACAAACCTCAGTATAAGCACACTTTCTCCGCGGACAAGAATAACTCACTCTGTGTTACTTAATACAGGTACATTTGGCAGCATTGAGCTGCGATGAATGTCAATTGTATATATTCCTTAGGATTTAATAACATTGATTTTGGCTACATACATATCAGTAACTGATTTAGATTTGATTTAGGCCTATATAATTTGCATACATTAATGGAATTTTTACTACATTCATGGATAAAATTGCCTAAACATTAAGAATAGAATTTCAGAGGCAGTAAACATTACCATTATGCTTATTGAAAAGTTATGACAAATATCAATTATTACATTTGAGATAACAAAGTCAGGAAATCAATAGAAATACCTCTACTTGCTGAAAAAAGATTTAGGAAAAACAAGTTGTTATATGTATTCAGCCTAATGCCATTAATCAGAACGGAAATCGAAAAGGTTTTTGTAGAGAAAAAAACCAAGCCCGGTCCTATAGGTCAAATTCCTATTTATAATGAAGTGATCCTTTCATTTATTTTTGCTTTACATTGCTGCTTTAAAAAACTATCAGTAACTTTCAAAAAAACTATTATGTAATGATTAGTATATGTCTCACCTATGCCATTTCTAAACAGTACAGCATGATGTAGGCATGGCGACTCACTTGTATCGTAAATGCAGTAGCACATGACAGGAGCAAATTCGTAAAACACACAGATAAGAATAAAAGCTTGCTTGCTTTGTCAGATGACTTACCTCCCCTTGCTTGGACAATACCGTGTAGGCGACAGTCACGATTAAAGAAAACCAGTATGCATGCAGAACCAGTAGTATCACTAATACGCCGTTAAAGAGGTAAAGGCTCGGAAAACCTCCGACCACCTGCTTGCATTCATAATACGTGGACCACATGACCCTAGAAGAAAGCGCGGGGAACAGACCACATGATTAATAAAAGCCTGTATTGCCTTGGCAGTGCTGGCAGTCAAAGAAGAAATTATGGTTGAAAAGTGTGATGACTGTGTGTATATGGATGACGTATTGGGGTGTCTGAAGGGGTGAATATATTATTTGTGGTATTTGTCTTCCTTCCATGGATCCTGTATTCTTTTTAATGAGACATATATTGTGCATCTGTGTGTGAAATTTGCTAGTAAAACATAGGTAATCAGAGATTACAGAGCTCACCTCAACGAATGTTGTCTTTAAGTAAGGCAAAGTCACACAATTAACCAACAAAAAGTGTACATTCCAAAAATGAAAATATTTAAGCAATTTTGATCTGATACTTTGAAATAGACCTACATAAAAAATTTAATCTAGTACTTCTTCATGAAAATGTAATCAAAATCCAGCATCTGAAGCAAGTTTGAGAGTTTTTATCTCTTGATGCAACATTTGTGCAAGTTTGGTTTATACAATGTTACATAAGCCTTATATTTTTTTGGAAATAGACCTGCAACCATAACTTTTACCTGGTCTTTTATCTGAAAAATGTATGTCGAATTCAGCATCCGAAGCAAGTCCATTAGTGTGCATCCTAAGATGTATCGTCCATGCAAGTTTGCTCACTATAGGGCTCATAGTTAATTGGAAATGAAACATGCATCAAAAACTAACAATATTCACTCATCCACAAAAAGGAGGTCAGATTCAGCATCCGAAGCAAGCCTGGTAGTATGCATCTTTAGATGTCTCATCCATGCAAGTTTGGACAACATAGGACTTATAGTTACTTGGAAATGAAACCTGCACCAAAAACTTTAACCTGTTCACTCAACCGGAAAAAGTAGGTCAGATTCAGCATCCGAAGCAAGCCTGGTAGTATGCATCCTTAGATGTATCATCCATGCAAGTTTGGTCAACATAAGACTTAAAGTTAATTGGAAATAAAACCTGCACCAAAAACTTTAACCTGTTCACTCAACCGGAAAATGTAGGTCAGATTCAGCATCCGAAGCAAGCCCGGTAGTATGCATCCTTAGATGTATCATCCATGCAAGTTTGGTCGACATAGGGCTTATAGTTACTTGGAAATGAAATCTGCACCAAAAACTGCACCAAAAATGTTAACCTGCTCCAAAAACATTAATCTGGTCATTTCTTTGTTTAAACTGCAGCATCTGAATCTTGGACTGGTACAATGAAAGACACTAGAAGCATCTTCCATGCATGTCTAATCAATATAGGACATAGAAGTACTTAAAAAGAAAACTGCCCCAAAAAACTTAACCTTAACCTGGGACGCCGACGCCGAGGGTATCACATAAGCTCCCCCCAACTTCGTTGAGGTGAGCTAAAAATGCAAGTGCATTGCTACAAGGACATAACCAATAGTATGATACAGGTAAAAATTCTACAGAGCTAACAATGATGAAAATGAATGATGATGATGAATAAATAGCAGATTTCACAGTTTTCATGAAATCAATTTTTTTTTTAATTTCAAACCATCAGAGTTCTACATAAACTTTTAAAAATTAAAATTAAATCTAAGTTGGTCCACTATCAACAGAAGATAGCATTCCTTGTAAAAAAAAAAAAATATATAAATATTCATTTATTTTTAAATCTGTGATCACCCCCCCCCCAAAAAAAACTTATTAGGGTTGGCACACTGTCACTCATTCAAGACATTACAACATGAGAACACAAAACCATTCCAGTTAAGCTGCCATAAATTTGCATACTGCAAGAAACAACATAACTACTTTATTGTTCTGAAACTCTAAATGGACCCTAAAAAAATGTTAAAACAATACATTTGTTAGAATGTAATTCAATTTTTCTTATGATCAATACATGAAATACAGTGCAACTCATCTAATCTGGATACTGTATCATCAGATATACTGCTTAAACAATATTTATGTAATCAGATATACTGCTTAATACGATATTAACTTTATGTCCCAGGCTTTTAACAAGTATGTTGTTGTATCCAGCTGATATCTTTGCAACCAGTGATGTCAAGATTAGAGATTTTTTAATTTCTCAATATTACTGATACTGATATTCTTATCAAAATGACATTAAAAAAAAAACATATGCCATTAAAATCATCCTTCTTTTGACTGATTTTTGTTACTTCTTGTTCAAATGTAATTTTTAAAAGTAGGATGTAAAAAAAAAAATAAATAAAATTAGAATAGAATAAGAAAAACAAATAACAAAAAACAAAGAAAATTTTGTAAAAGGATTTAAAATTTCATTAACTTAAAGATAATAAAAAAAGAAATTGCATGGTAAATAAAGTAAATATTTGAATATGTAAATGACCTCTTGGAAAGCTCAATAAAAAAAACATGTTATTTTTTAGAAAGAACATATTCAATATCTTACAAGAAAGACAAAGAAACTTCTACAAAAAAGGAACATTTTATAAAAGGACCTTTAATAACAAATATCTGTGTGCTTCCTGAAAAGTAGAAAATGACAAAATAATAATTCAGTTTTTTGTCTTAATTCCCATCTAAAAATAAACCAGGAATCCTCAAAACGATTGGGCAACCTCTACCCTTGACAAAAATCTCAACACCAATTTTGACAAAAATGGATATCCTAAAAAGTATGTACGATGACAATTAGATAGGTTATGTATTGTATATGGACAGGTCCTATTCATATTCATGCAAATACATCCCCTGTACAGTTATAAATACCCTTGCAAGCTTTCCCTATCACCAACAGGCTTTTAACAACATGCATGACTGTTTTTGATACATCTACCTTTGATATAGATCTAATAGCATACATGTTTATGGTTTTCCAGTAACTATTACAGGTAATATAGTGGTGCTTTTCCATAACTTAAATCTGATTCAATTTTTTTTTTTGCATAATTTTATTTTGTAAAATAAAAAATGAAAAAGATAATAAAAAAAGGAAAATATTAATAAGCTGAATGCATGCAAAAATTGGAGATGTGCAGAAACATATTTTCAATTAAAAACTTGCTGAAATCCATTTACTTCATAAGATGTTTTCCCTACAGATTTATCTTTAATCAAAATTTTTAACTTTTTGTGATCAAAACAACACATCTTTCCATATCTTTTGTAACTATACTCTAAACTACATACATCAGGACAATCCACCATGTTGTTGTGCAAAGCGTTTAATTGGCTGAAGAAGTGACAATATTACAAGAACCTGGATATATTCATATTCCTTGTCTAGCGTTATTTGTAAATGTGCGAACCGTGGGGGGAGGAAAAGCACCATATTAAAAGACATGTACGTCGTATTTGGTACTGATCGGAGAGGTTATAATTCCCTCCACAAAATCAGCAGCAGGCAGCAAGCCTAAGATTTTAAACCACACAGGAAGACAACAAATTTACACAGTAAAGCACTCTTGAGTATGTACTACGAAAAAATACAACAACAAAACCTAAAAATTGCACATGTTTACATACAAAAATGCAAGATTCCAAACATGAAAATAAAATTTTTTTGTTTACACAAACAATCAGAAGAAATAAGCCTCAAATTTACGCTCATTTTTTTTTTTTTAAATTTAACGCTGACGTCCTGTGTCATTTTAAAATCTTAGATAAGTGAGGTCAATAGCCGATTTCAAGGTCGACATGCGGAGAACAAAGTGTTTGGTTTTACCTTTGACGTGATTTGCATCCAAAAAATTCGCCCAATCATATACGTCCAACAAAGGTGTAAAATTTGTAGACTTATCAGAAGGCCATTATAGAGAAAGTATGCCGGGCCCCAACCAACTATAGGGTGGGCATAGAAAAGGGTGCTATATACGATTCTGAAATAGGACATAAAATGTTCCGATTAAAACATGGCACCGACTCATTTTTATCACCTTTTTTTTAATGCTTACAAAACTTCATTCTCATCATCAAGTTGATCTAAACACTTTGAACCTATAGCTAGAGGGAAAATTTTAATTTTATTGACAGAAAAGCAGTAAATGATATGGCATTTTGCAGCACATAAATGTTCATAAATAGTCCAAAGGCTGAAGTTAAAATTGCAAGTCTTTCTCATTTAACAACTTTATTTTTGCTTCCCAAAAGAAACATAAAAATACTTGTGAAATAACTTAATGCCCAAGTACCAAACTCAATTTTAAAACAAATCTTCCTGATAGTTTCTGGTTGCAGTGCATTTTTAAAAACTATTTCAGATCTTTAAATTCCCAGGTATTTCCTGGACTACATGTTCTTTTCATGTTCCAAGGAAGAATTTCTGCCCAGAACTTGGAGTTCAATTTTTTCTTCTTTCCCCATCCACTTTTAATTCATACCCCATTCCTTCTCATCCACATACGACATCATGCCTTGAGAGAAATTGGTGTGCTTGTTGACACACAATCATGCAAAATTGAAACAAAAGCTAAACTTTGGGTAAAAAAAAGGAGGCTAACAAAGGCTTAAGTTACGCTTGAATAGTTATGGAAGCAACATTATTTTATACGAAAGTCAAATTATAAAAAATGAGAGTATAAAAAGCAAAAAACAAGGCACACTGTCATGCTAACTACAAATATTTCTGTTCTACTCTACAAACAATCAAGTTTCTCTTTTCTTTATCAGTATTCCCTATGGAAGTACTGAAAATGTTTTTCAATCATTAGCCTTAGCTAAATAGGCTATTAACTTAATGAGTTTTTCCCCACTTAAAAATTTTTGATGAAATATAATGACATAGCCAATGGAATAGACATGTATTTGCTTTGTCAAAATTGGCCTAGCCACTGAAATATTTTTGCTTAAGAATAACTTGAAGAGAATTTCTCATAAAATTTTCATTATGATATATTTATGTACTTTGACATTTGAAATCTTTCTGTTTAAATATACATCCATCATTCTGTCTAAAAATTTGTGAAATAAAATCAAATGATTTGTATGTAGACAACATATAGGCTTTCGAAAATTTTTGAACAAAACACTATAGCTTTGTTAATGTACAATATTACATTATAAATTGTGCTGTTGAAAACAACTTCTATGTGTTTGAGAGAAAGAAGGGGGGGGGGGGTGAAAAAAATGCATACTTTACAATGTTAACATATCACTTACAACTTTAAACTTACACCTGCACAATCAACAACAAAAAACAACATTTTATATTTATTCACAGAGTTGGAAGGCAACACGTCTTGTTGGAACTAAGAACCAAACTGTTTGCCTGAGGCCATTAAGCTGAAGGCAAACAGTTTCATTCAATGCCTTTAAAAAAAATCTTTTGCTAAATCCAAAGTCAATAAAAGTTTTATTATACTTTCTTCCTTTGAATTTTGATATATCTAGACTTGTGCTGGCTACCATGTTTGACATGATTGTTAAGATATAGCATAAACCATCGACACTGTGACACAAAAATGTCATAGTGGTCCAATATGTCATCAAAAAGATCCAATGTATCACTCAGCTATCCAATATCAATTTTTATGACCAATGAGATCAGTAAAATAGTCTAAATATTAAATATTGAAATTTTCAGCATAAATTTTGAGAGGAAACATTTTTTTAAGGTATAACACAAATAATTCATTCAAGTCTTTGCCAACACATAAAATTCTTCAGAAATTTATGTAGGTAAAGGTACAATGTCCATCACTGGAGATGGGAAAGAATATACTGAGTCTTTGTATCTTTATACTTGTTATATATTAATTATTTAAACAAATTACATACTGTGTCTTATCAACTGCAACAACCTGCATTAAGAATAAGCTCATGCATATAAAATCCATTGATAAATATCTATAAGCATTATTTATCCATCACTTTTCATGAAATGCTCTGGGCTCAAGTCTACAATTACATTGATCCGTTTTGTACAAGGTCTTTGGTACAGGGCCCTTTCATGGTGCCTTAATGGTCACACAAGTATAATACAACTTGTAAAAGATTTCGAAAATATAACGTTTTTTACAGTATAATCAACAGAACCCCATCTTAACACCAGAACCTGACTCAGCGGCCATTTTTGGACAAAGCACCCTTGCTCAACATAAAGTTGCACTAATATTTCCCAGAAGGAGAGAAGACAATTTTAAGAATTGCAGAAGTAGTCAGTTTTAAATTTGGAAGCCCTCTGCTAATAACTAATGGGTGATTCCAAACCCATAAATCTGAACAAACATAAATATGTATTCAACATGACATACAGTTATGTAATTATTACCTCCATGAAATATCAGCAAGTCAACAACCAACAAATTAATGATCAAAAATCAACTCATATGAGATTACGAGGGCCATGCAATTTTCTTAACAAGGAGAAAGGTAAGATGGGTGAAACTATTCTTAAAATCTATCTTGGTATATGTAATGATATTTTAAATATTAGATGAAAAGGTTATATTTATTAAAAAGCAATATATTTTTCCTTGAATATATAATACAGTATGTTTAAATATATTGAGTTAGAAATACCATAACATGGTATTCACATAGTCATATACTAATTAATTTTATAATCAAAGTTGATAATTTTTTTTTACATCAGACAAGCACATTTGTGTATATTAGGCCATAAAAAATTAATTTCCTGGTTCTCAGGCCCTCCCTCATCTCTTCCAAGGGTGCCTCATTGACCCTTTTTATTGCTAAATCAATAAAATAAAAACAACAAATCACCTCCCTCATCATTTTTTGAGGTTTTGTACATTGTAAAAAGCTGCCTCATTTTGTTTTGGGGGCAATAAAAAAGTTTTAAAAAATGCCTTCCTCCTTCATCACATTTCTTGAAAAAATTAATTACAAGGTGCTCTAGATTAGATTGATTTGACCACATAACACAGTACATGTAATATGTTACATTTAACTTCCAGGAATCTTGCATAACATTCAGCTGTAAGGATGACCTACATTGTTAAATTTAAAAAAGTACCAGATATTATACTGTATAGCGGGTTATTTTAGCGGGGTGCTAAATCTGGATTATTTTAGCGTTTTGATGGTAGCCCGCTAAAATTTTAATTGCTAAAATAGTCAATACTCTTCTTAGTGTTTATCTATTAAGAGCTGAATCACCGTGTCCGTTAAAATAAATTACGCCAAAATTATTGCCATACCTTTGAGCAGGTAAAACGCCAAATTTTACACCCGCCAAGAAAACCCGCTATACGGTAATTCCATTACCAGTATACAGAAGAAAAAACACAAAAGTGACAGTGTGCCTTCATAAGGGTGTATATATTGCAGAATCGAACAGAGTTTGGAAAAATTTACAATTCAACTTTTTCTAAAGTTGCAAACTTTTTTTTTAAAGTTGCTTTAAGTAGATTTTGAAAGAAGAGAAGAAATATTGCTAATATCAGAGTTGTAGACTTCTTTTATACATGAAAAATGCACTCTGTATGATTGAAATGAAAAGTGATCTGATATTCTGAGAAGAATGTGTAGTCTTATTTTAAGTCAGTTTGTGTAATGTTCATATATAATAAGTATGACGATGATGCAAGACAATACTTTTCTTTAATTTTTCACAATAGAAATTTTTCATCATTATATTTTTTAAATAAAAATCATAATCTGGCCTTTTACAATTACTGCGAAACTGCTTTTTTGCAGGGCAATTAAATAATTTTTGGGAAAGCTTTATTTGACAGATGTTTAACAAATATTAAATACAATACTTTTAAACAATGATATTTCCTCAAAATATATCACTGCGTCCTGCGAAAGAGCAGCGTCGCAGTAATCATGAAACAGACCGATTTCGTATTCAACTTTTACCAGAATTTCTCATACAATACATGTATTTTGTTATACTGACAAGAATGTGTGTATTTCAGCTGACTTTGGTACTTACTTGGTGGGATAGAGAACTAGTCTGGTGATGAACCAAACCACGCCAAATACAGCAAACAGTACATCACACAGCCTCTGGGCTTTGATATATTTCGCCATTTTGGCAGCCTGAAGAAATAGATATCAAGGCATTTGTCTAAATAATTAAAAATCAAAATTCACTATTATTCTTTTTAGTACATGCATAATCACTTATTAGGTTATTTCAAAGTGACTGTCCATTACTCCTAACTATTTCATACTCTGAAATCATTTTATGATTCTACCGGTACATAAGAGTTTCTCAACAAAACTATCACTAACTTTTTTTAATAAAATTGAAGTGTATCTCAATATGTGATCAAGCATGTTTACAGAGAAAATGTCTTCTCTTTTTTTTTTTCTAAACCCTCTCCTGAGTTTTGGAAGTTTTTTTTTTCTTGCTTGACCCTCTCCCAATTTTTGGCAATTAATTTATTCTTACTTGTCAATTTTTTTGCCCCCCACCCTTCCCTAACACTTATTTCTACTGGCCTGTCTTGTGCTTATGTCTCTCGCATACTATGATCATTGAGAAAATAAATCACTTATCAGTTTTGTTACTGACTGCCTAAAGAAACATTAATCCAGTTAAAGACCACTCCCCCTTTCCATGTACAAGATTGATAAAACCGATATATTCCTGTAGACATGAAGTACAAAAAAATTAAGTTCATAAGCATTGATACCCCTATAAATGGAAATTTTAGCGAGGATTTAATTTTGGCATTATTAGCGAGGGTGCATCGTCGCAAACCACAGCCAAAATGTATGCTCCTCTCCCATTCTGGCTGTGGTTGAACAAGGAGAGAATTCTTCATAGCTCATTAAAATATTGACCAATGCAAGTAAAGCATAGTCAGATGATGAACTTTATCGCGATCTTTCAATATCCAATCGCAGTATAGGAAATATTTATTGTATACTGTTGACGTCAGTTGTTGATTTCGATTGCGATGGAAACAAAACTTGCCACTGACTGAATATGACGTCACAATAGAAAGGCGTAAATATTCAAGATTACGACGCTTTTTGTGATCAAGCAGCCACGGGTAGGAGAGTGCTATATATGCGGACTCCGGACCATGGCTTGAGACGATGGTGAGGGTGCTGAAATTGCTAAAATTGAATATTCCTTGAAATTAATTGCTTTATTTGTAAAACCTTCTTTAGTGAGCATTTTAAAAATCGTTAAAATTACTTCTCGCAAAAAATAAAATACTAATTTTTAAGAAATGGATATATTTGTGTCTCATTTAAATTGCCACTTTTACGGTATATATATCCATGATAAAATTTGGCTTATGCCTGAGAAATAATTAAAATGTCTGACCTCCAACCAATAGTCCACAGCGTCGTGTATACATAACACGAGCGTTCCTACTCGTACAAAGTTTCCACACCAGGAAAATGTCAGGAGGCTTATCGTGGCACAATGGTGCGTAAACATCTCCCAGAAATCCTAAAACAGAAAATCTCGATGAAAATCCACTATAAACTGCTAAATGAATTACCAAGCACATAATTAAATTTAGAAATACTGTATACAGGGGAATATTTAACATTTAGACATGTATTTTGCTGACATGATACCAAATACTGTAAAATCATTATCCAAAGGGTTTATTTTCAATGTTTTCTGTGTGTGGTGTGAAGAAATTCATGTCCATAATGAAATAAGTTCAAGCTACTTATCATGTTCTTCCATGGAATTAAATAAATTATAAAATCCCTACATAAATATTTAATTTTACATTAATGGAAGAAAGGGGCCCTACTATTTTCAAGTGAAGTATATATATAGGGGCCCCTAAAGGAGTGGTCTAGTGATGAAAGGGGCAGAGCATAATCATTAAAAGTTATTGTCACCATCAGGTTTCTCTCTCAGACCAGGGGGCCAGGAAATTTTCCCACCTCCGTTATTTTGGTATTTAACCATTAAGGTGGACCCAAGATCCATTCTTACTTTTTAAATGTCCCTTTTTATCTCAATTCTTAGGGATAACCTAATCCTAAATATCTGATGTTTTCCAGGCTTTTTCACAATTTTGATATTATACGTGCCAGGAAAACATAAGAACAGCCATTTCCTGGCACGTAAAATATCAAAATCGTTAAAAAGCCTGGAAAACTTAAGATATTTTGGACAAGGGATAACCCTGCACTATAGTGTGATCATTGGAATCAGACCCTTAAAATGACTTTTCTTTGTTGCACCTTTTGGGGCAGCAAAAATTTGTCTCTATATTTTTTATTGTTTATTAGAATTAAAATCAAGAAACAGAAACTTACCTTTCTTTTAACATCCATAAATTGTGAAAACATAAGCGACCAGTAAAAAGAAATCTCTATCATGTAATACCAGAAAACACCCGAGGACAAATGCTGGAAAACAATTTCACCATTTATAAAGATTTATAATGCAAGGAAATCTTCTCATTAAGTTCAATATTAGATATTTATTTTTCTAAATTCAATTTCTCTTTCTTGCTTTTTAAGCAGTGTTCATTACGTGAATCAGCCAAAATATTCAACTAAACATTACATGTGTAAAGGAGTAAGAAGAAACTTACATGTTGTGGATACCCTACCCAGCATTTCATGGAGTCAGCGAACCAAGGTTTCTGTAAAAAGATAATTTCTTTATTTTACATCACAATTAATGTACTTTTCACAAAATAAACTATTCATCTATATCATGTTTCACAGTGTTCTTTTTATTTCCTTGTCTTTTTTTATAATTACTATTTCATTGCCTTTAAAGCCTAGCTCTAATTCCACTCCCATTTATTGATTTAGAAGTATTTGAATCTTAAATTTGTGAAATGTTTTCTTTGTTTAAAGTATTGAATAGAAAACTTACATCCCATAAGACAGCTACTCCATATACAAATATACTAAAATAAAAGAAAAATCTCCATCTACAAAAAAAAAAAAGAGAGAAGTTGTCATTATAGCTATCACACAAAAAGAGTCAATGTTATAATCTTTGTACAATACAAATGACATATGTATAAAAAAAATGTTTCTTCAAATATATATATGTTGTTATCAAATGACTTGGGCAGAATTTTTTTTTTCTTTTTAGTGAAATATCAAATATTATGTATTATAAATTTTCAAAATGTACGCAGGCTCACTTAGCAAGCTCTCAAATTAAACATAAACATAGACTTTATCTGAAGTATATTTCAAAAATATGCTAATTAACAGAAACACAAAATGTTTTCTCTTTTGAAAACAATTCACCCTCAAGGGTGGCGGACTTTACCTGAAGTAATATTTCAAGAATATATTGACAGAAACAGAAAAATTTCCTTTTTTGAAAACCAATTGCCTCCTATGGTGGCACAGTACAAAGTTACCTTGGGGAACAATCTGGTCTTGATAGGAAACCTGAAGCCTCTATATTGCAACATAGTTAAAAACTATGATCAGTGTTGATTTTGAAAGACATTTAACAAAGTCAGCTTGTGGTACTGTATTATAACTTAATGAATACAAGAATGTAGCATGAAGCCATTTTCTTTGAACTTCAACTAGCTAAAGTATGAAGTCTCATTCAAAAAAAAAGTTTACTGGAAAAGCTTTATATGGCTAGGATCTTAGTCTTGGACATGTTATAAACATGCCCTGTCAGATCTTGGGCCATCATCAAACAATCACAGAGGTTTCTCTATATAACAGACTGGACACTTACGAAGCCTCCGTGAAGCGCTTCATTTGACTTGGACGTTCCTGATTTCTTCTCATCCTGAACCACCTCTGTATCTGACGCTCTGTCATGTCTGTCTGTTTTTCTAAAACCTGTAATTAAATTAATTCAAATGAGAACTGGTTTTTATTATGTGTTAAAATCAAAAATTTGGAATTGGTTGTGACAGAACATGTAGAATGAGGACAACTGTCCATGGAATTGTTTTAATTCACAGAGGGTCAATGTTCTTGGGCACGTTAAACTTGATTGGTTCATGGTGAAGTAATTCTGTTGTTAACTCATTCATACAGAAGATTTAATGAATAAATATATTGACAAAATAATGGTTTATGGGGATGTAAATTCGAGGATGAGGGAGCAGACCTGTGAGATCCATAAACTTTGCCCCCCCCCCCCCCCCAACATCCACAGAGTTAAGGTAACTTTTTAAGCCTTGTAGTGGTCAAAGTTAAGACATATTGGCCTGACGACACCTCGACACATTTACGCAGTGACAATCTGTCCCACACAGGTTGACCTATTAGTTAACACACTATTTGGGCACAATAGATGAATTTGCACCGATTGACTACTTAACAGAAATATCTGTACCATGAGACAAACAACATTGACTGGCCCGGCTAAGCGTATAATAAAACTGGATGAGAAGCTAGAATTTTTTATGGCTCTAGCTCTTTTAATCATTTTGCTTATAACTTTCTGTTAATACTTCATATTTCCAAAATATCAATGTTCTACTGCAAGCTCAATTTTGACAATTTGTCACTTAGTCTAGAAGCTCAATTTTGACCCCATTTTGAGTTTTACACGAATAATAAGTGTGAAGTACCTTTATCGTTTCTTCTGATGGAAATTTCTTTACTTGGTATGAATTCTCCAAGGCACTAATAGGTGTAACAATCTTTGGTCGGCCATCCTTAATACCAAAATATAATCCTACTGGTCTAGCTATAAGGCTGAAAAAATATAAAGGAAAACATCATTGCATGCCATCAAAAGAGATCACACACCTGTAATAATATATATTACTAACTTTAATTAGAGATATTATTGTCTTTCTAGCATGTCTGAAGTGTTCAGTATATGTACCAGTATACAATTTTTGTAATTAAATTAGGCCTAACACTTCGTCAATAATCTCATCTTTGACATTTAATATGACTTTTTATTGCTCTGTATATTAGTTTATGATATGAATGATTTTTTTTTTTTGATTTTTTTTTTATTTTATCTCCAAGCAATCTTGTCAAAAAATTGCGCAATATATTATATCTGGCAATTTTTGAGCTGTTTGTGCAAATCCATCAGTATCTGCTTTGCTATAACTCAAGCATTTTAACAACATTGAGGAAATTTACAATTCCTAGAAGTATATCAGTAATGAGTATTAATCTGTATTTTGAAAGCAAACTTCTGGACAAATATGAAATTTCTGCCATAGTAGAAAGCTCTGTTGACTTGATAGGGCAGGAATACACTTTGGACATTTACATATTTGGATACCTCACCCTGCTGATACCCTCCCCCAACTCCACTTCAATCCCATCTCACAAAAATTTCATAACCATACACTGTTTTTTAAACATTTTTCAGTTGGCAAATGACATACAATCTACCATGTCTACATTATACATTTTTTTCAAAGAAAAAAGATATAATAAAAATTAAGCAACTAGAGTAGATCTCTTTATCACTTATCAGTACAGTACAAACGTGAACTACTCTATCTTGATTATCTGATATGATCATGATGACAGTTACTGTTTATCATTGTGATATTGTCTGTACATCTCCACACAGGGTGAACAAAACACAAAGTCTGTCCCTTGGCTTAATGACCCTTCTTAACCTGTTAATCACGGTCAAAGCATTAAATCCCAGTCCTTTACTGTAACAGTGTAATGTACTATGTACAGAAAACATGTGACTGCAGAGACTATCGACTTCACATTTACATTTGTACTTCAGAGCCCAAAGGTCTTCTATAAAATTTTTTATATACATTAATGGCTCTTCTAATATCAAAGTCCTTATGTATTTTTTTCTCTAGGTGAAATGCCATATCACGACAGACAATAAGTTGCAATGAAAACATTCAGTATATTGAGACAGTCAACAAGTTAAGGGTACTATGAGAGAGACCTCTCTGCATATCATTAGCCTTCATTTTAATTTTCCTTCACAATCACTCTTTTAATCTGACCTGATTATTTCTTTTTAAATAATTTTCATTCTATATTGAACAAAATTGATCTTAAATTTGATAAGTACTGGAATTGTTTTACATTTAACAGAGACAGTATCAAATACTACACAGACTGTATATGTCTGACCCATTGATCTATACATTTATTAGTCACGCGCTAAAGTTTTTTTTATATTGTACGTGCTATTAACCGTTTTGATCTGATCAGCTAGGATGCATATTCTCAAATGTTTCAGATTTTACATGAAATCCAAATCTGCTACAAGGGTTATAACATTCAACCAATCCTCATTTTTTTTTTAAATTCAAGCAGACTAAATAGAAACAAACTCCAAACAAAAAGGACGCAATTCAAAGAATAAGTGAACTTCAAGTTTCTTGGTAACTGCACTTTTAACAAAGATCTACTTGTAATACGTACCTTTAAAAAACGACTCTGAATTGTTGATACATGTTCTTTATTGAAAAAATAAAAGTTTGCTTTGGTAAAGTGATCGAGTTCCTTTTTGGATTCTAAACATAATGTTTAGTACAAACAAGAGCACTGAATATTTTAAAGAAGCCATTCCTATAGCTCACTATTTATCCTTATCCCAATTCTAGTTTTAACAACAAGTCTTTTATAGTTATAATTCAGACCTGAATTTCCAGATATATTACAGATAAAAAAAAGTATCATATTAAGATTTTGAGAACTTTTATGAATGTGCACAGTGTTGACATTGTTCTACTGCTAAACCACTTAATGTATATGTACTTCTGAGCAAAAACTAAAATCTTTTTATAGTATAAATGTTTTAATTACGTACATCAGTAACATCACCGTAGGATTATACCCTGCCATCCCAAAACCATTATAGGAGGTTTTAATTACCATGATTACAGATAAAAATATTCCTACAGATCAAATATAATCTAATTAAAATTAGATTTTTGATCCGCTCCAAATAGATCGCTAAAGCATCAAAGACTTTAATTAGATTACATGGACCAAGAATATCATCATCATGATCATTGAATGAATTTTATTTTGATATATGCCATTTATTAATTCTTATCATGCTTATACATATAAAACAATGCTTATTTCATTAGTAATAAAATATCATATGGGGGCAGGAGCATGATGAGGGATAGAATATTTTTTTACATAATAGCTCTATACTTAAAAACAAATCTTTTGACAAAACAAAATAATCCAAAGTCCTGTTTTAAGACAAAACATCACAAATAATCCACTTGATTGCATAATACTTCTCTTGTATTAAGAACACAAAGTAATCGACCTAGTCCTGATAGTACTTGACATTATAAACACTATAAACAAAACTTACAAGTTACAAGGGCAAATTTTGTTGAACTATAGTGCATCTCTTTCAACAATGTTGAGATTTCTGTTGAAATACATAAGATGAAATTATATGTATGGATATTTTTCATGCTAAAATTGACAAGTAACCTATTTAAAAACTAAATTTCAAACATAAATGATTTCATATTTCTTTACAGTGATAAATGATGTATTTTTGATTAGTTCAGACTAACTTAAATTAAAAAGATCTTTTTATTTGTTTTATTTCTTTATGCATGTTATATAAAGATAGGACTTTTCTGTAAATAACACAATTTACATAAATCGCATTTCATAGATATCACAGATTTAAAACAGTTAATAACCGATTTATTTCCATTTGGAATTAATATGAGATACAGTTTAAAGTCAGTTTAACTATAGAAACGTGGGGATATTTAAGTTCAAAATCTGTGAAAATTTGAATTTGAACCTAAATAACAAATGTAATGTAAATTGACATTCAATCTCGTATTTTTATTTTTTTTTTATTAAGCTCAGATATGCCAGATATAGCTTTAAGAAAAACATCAGAAATTAATCATTGAGATTACATATCCAGGATATAACTCAATGGGTTTATTGACTAAGGTCTCTATTTGCTTACATAACTGAACATTTCCTTTTCTCATGTTTCTCTAGTTCTCAAAAACTGGCATATGCAAGATTGTGTAAATGCGTGTCCTTTAAAGTGAACATATGTAAATTTAAATTTTCAAGCTCTCATTTAAGCCCCTTAACATAAGAAATATGGAATTTTTTTAATGAAATTCTACACCAATAAACAAATTTGACTTCTAAGTCTTGAATATATACATTATGTAGTCATAATTAATATGACACTGATTATGTGCAATAACCATACATTTGATTTCCTGCATGTCACGTATAATAATAATGATTTTTTTTTAAAACTAAAGCTTGCCTAAAAAGATTGCAGAGTACCTGTTTTGTTTACTAGTAGCTCTTCAATGAACATGCTGAATGACAATCTTGAAATCAATGAATGTCTATACTTATCAAGGGCTTTCTGTTCAAGTGTAGTAAAATACATTTTCTGAGATGTTTAAAAGTAGAAGTGATATATGCAGACTTTTCTTTCTACAGGGCTCCATATTAACATTATAATTTGTTCTTTTCTCCGGTACCCATGAAATTTGTTGATCAATAATTGGATTTATGATAGTCCAATTGAACATGATTTTTATGCAATGAAAATATCACAGCACATGTTACAAAATGTTAACTTTGTGAATCTTTTGAAAAACTTAATACAAAATAATTGGGCTAAAAAACAATCATTCCAAAGATTATAGGGAAAATGTATAAAACACTGTTACTTTTTGGTTGACGTATATTTAAACTCATAAAGGATTACTATATTTAGATTTTTATTCAATAACCCCATGGCAAAAATTCAATTGACCATTTAAAAGTCTATATAGTTGAGGCTTTCGTGCACTTTTAACATGTTTAAGCTGATATTTACAATGACAAAAACATAAATAAAGGAACTAAAAATTTCTCTCTCTTCATTTCTCACGTTGATCTCTGATATACATATAACTGTGACCTTTTCTAGAAATGGAAGAGTGATTATAATTATATAACTTCTCAATAAATATTAAATAATATCCACTACCCCATTAATTATGAATTAAAGCATTATTCTATACAACCCTTTCAAAATCTGCTATTACCCGGTACTGTTTTATGCGACTGAAATTTTGATTGTATGTTCCAAATTTTACAATGGGGAAAAATTAAAGCATATATAATAAATTGCTTCCATGAAGAACATCCATCTGAGAAAAAGTACCACATGTGTCTAATTTTTTTTTAAAATCCCTGTTTATAAATGTTATAATAACCTGCTTGTCCAGGTGACCTCTTGACCTTCAAGCAGAGCACAGCATTCTCAATAACAATGGAAACGTGTCTAAATACAATGTACAAGTATCATCTTTCTGCCTGAAGACAAGTATATTACATACAATGTATACAAAAACATCTATATTATATACAGAACAAAAGACTACCATGAAGTTTGTGAAGCATACATAATAAATGTATAAGATGTTAGAATTTTTAAACAAAGGGGGAAGGGGGATTATGTCTTTAACCCTATAGAGCCAGCTATTCATGAACAAATTCCTATAATTTGGATGTAGAGAGGTTGAATACTGTAAATCACTTTTTATTCACGAGAACTTTATTTTCGCGTAATTACGCGAGACAGTGTGCTCGCGAAAATTTCATTCTCGCGTATAATAGTATTCCTTAAGATTATATAGAAGAATAACCATAATTCGTGAAAATTATGTCTCACTAATAAAGAGTGAATGACTATCTCGCGAAAATAAGGTGTCGCGAAAATGTAGCGATGTACAGTATACTGTACATGTATAAGAGTTATCTCCAATGGTATACATTGCCATTTACAAAATTTGAAACAGTGAATTCTGACCATTAAACACTGACAAATTCATCTTCTGCCATCCCTTTAGTGAAAGCTCTGCTAAAGTTGTTAAGTGCTTCCATAACAGTTGTTAATTATTCATTGTCATGCAACCACATTGCTTATTGACATTGGTCACTCATTAGGTGTTATGTTAATTCAATAAGTCTCCTAGATTGACTTGTTTTCATTACTGACAAAGAATAGGGACCTTATTATAAGACTGGTATATAATGACTAAAGATCATCTTACACTTCCTTGATGAAATAAATACAGGACGTACATTTTAACAGGGTATCTAGAGAAAGTAAACTAGGTCCCACCCGGAGGAAATCTTAACAGGCATTCTTACTTCTGTAAAATCTCCTATATCAATGAAATTCTAAATTATATTTACATAGCTTACATTATCTACGTGTTTGAGATTTATCTGCAGTCAGCCAGTGCAAGTTCTCGCTTCGAAGGATAGGTGTCCGAAAATGAGGCTACAAACTCATACAGGAAGCCATCTGAAGATACAGAATCAATCCAGCACTGCAAAATCCTGTACCCCTTGACTTTAAAATTAATGGTGTCAGTAAATGAAGCACTCAACGTCAATAGCACTGACTTGATGTTTTATTCTAGTATTTCTGCAAAAACTGGGGGCATTTTGCATTTTTATTTTTTCGAATAAGACAGTAAAATCTCTGAAACCATTATTTATAATCTTAAAAAAACCCATCAGATCCAAAGCTGGAGATTAGAAACATTGACCAGAGGGCAGTAAAATTTGAAATCAGACTCAACACATCTAGCAATCTTAAAACTGAAAAATACTTTCCATTGTTCCATTGCAATAGCTGGTGACCTCTTCATTTGCATTCTCACGCATATATGAGAGGCTTCAGAGGCCGCAATTGACTAACAATAGTTTGTAAAGACGTTTCAAAAAAATTTAATTTTAGTCCTATACTGAAAATAAAGAGCCACTGTTCTGAAATGTGTGAGTGTGTCTTAGTTCGGAAAGGGAGCTCCTTATTTCTCCATGTGCACAGGCCAATAATTGATTGCAGGACATGGAAAAAATGAGGAACTCCCTTCCCTCCCTGTCAACATGTCAAGTACCAGAGTGGTTAAAAAGATGTTTGGATAAAGACTGTGGAATGGAAACATAAAACATGAATATTTAACTCCATGTAATCTATGACTGCAATCTTGAGTAAAATATTTAAGAAGTTTATGTTTATAATGATATAAAATAACTGAGTCTACGTGTAAATGCCTGTAAAGCCGGTTTGTAATGTGAACGAGGTTATTCGGAATGTAACGGACGCCATACGAGGTCCGGTTAAATCGCTCTTCTCAATACAGTGCTAGCTCAAATTTCAACGATCTTCAAAGGATTTTCTTTGTGCATTTCATATAAAACAGTATCTGGGTATTCTTTTAAAGCTAACGTAACTAAATGTGAATGAATATATATCGTACGATATTCCGTTCGAGTTCTCTCGGGACACACCCTTCGATCACATGCTTTGACTCACCTTTCAAAACATTTACGGACTGCAAATACAACAATTGCAAGAACAAATGGGATGTAGAGATCTTTTGCCTGTGGATAATATAAACCATCTTCTTTGTTTTCTAAGTGTTTCCATGTTACATTTTCTGGCAACCAAAACCATTCACTCCAAAAGGTGTCGTACACCGTTTTCCACGCCATTTTCTTTTCGATTTAATATAAAGCTTCAAACCGACAAGGACAGAATAAATAAATCCGGGAAAATATTTTTTTTTCAGTCTATGTTGGTTTTAGGATATACGATCCTCAGCCAGGAAGGATAACGCTTTAATTTATAATATAATTCAAAAAGTCTTCAAATAAATCTTGAAATTGAATTTTTTCATGCAACAATTTTCATTTTATGCCTCTACGTATGATTCAATGTTCTTTAAAGTTTTAACAAACGGTATTTAAAAAGTTGACATTTGTACCTAATAAAATTAAGTAAAACTTGCATATTTAAAAAAACAGATTTCTTTAAATTTAGCCTTACTTATCAATGTTTATAAGCATGATTTGAAATTAGAAGTGATTTACAGTGTTTTCTTTGAAAGGAAACATTTCATACACTATAATATATGCATTATGAAACGATGGAAGTAAGTAGGAGAAAGTAAAGTAATAAATAAGTGTAAAATTCATGCACTTTTCTTTAAAAGCCTGGATACCTATGATTTTTATTCCTAAAATGTATTTCTTGATCAAGTATCAATTAAAAAATATGCAGTACATATTATGTATATATTATGTAGGTAGTTCAAATCGCATTTCCTGAAAAATTATTTGAGATTTACTAATTTTCCCTATATAATATGATTAAATCTAGAGATGAAATTAAAAGAAACACCGTGGGTAAATACATTTTAATTTGAGAATTTAGAGACATCTGTGTGAGCATTTTCAATTACTCAATGCCTGATTTTCAGAACCTGAGGATCCATGCCAAGAAAACCTTAGCATTCTCTCCGTATAGCAAACTCAATAAAAGCCGATTTAACATTAATCTGTAATTCTTCCCCTGGGAGACGCGCGGAAGCAATTAATGTCCGCAGTTTTGAAGGAGGGATCTTAAAATTTTCTGGGTTAAAATTATAGGTAGAATACTATTTATTTAGAAGCCCTTGCCCCCTCCCCCCCTGCCTTTTTCGGGTTGGAGGGGGGAATAAAATTAATTATAGTAAAGTAATTCTTCAATAAAATAAGCTGCCTTTCAATTTTTTTTACGTAATTCAATTTCAAAATATTTTTTCTCAGTACAAATTAATTGACATCGGGTAGTTGTTGAAGTACCGCGTCGAAATATAGATAAAAGAGTACCAAATTTCCGGAAGTTTACATCATTTCCTGGTTGAACAAGATGGAGACGAGTACTGAATGGGTAGACGTTACCCGATTGGCTATGTATATATTTTCATTTTAAAGTGAATATTTTCTTTTGATTGTTTTTTTTTTCTTATTTTCTTCAGTCCAATTTTTTTTAAAAAATAAATTTGGGTACCAGTGCCTTTGGCATTTTACGTATTTTGTAAATAAAGATTTTTGACAGTAACTTTTTAGGGTATTTGTATTACATCCTGGGATAGAAGTTTATTTTTTCTTTAACTAAGAAAGCTTAAAACCTAGGATCCACCCCCAGAAGTCTGCGGCCGTAAATTGTCTTGCTGGCGTTTTGGGAATATGGGTGATTTGCATCAACTACACTTTTATTGACTCCATCGCTGTCGAAATCGGACGAGATTTCTTGGCATGGGATCCGATAACCTTAACATTAATTAATTATTAATGTCACATTTAACAAACAAACAATCAAACAAACAAACAAACAAACAAAATAAATAAATAAAAAATTAAATAAATAAATAACTGAATATCAATTATCTTTTATGATAAGTCATTTTACATTTCTTTCAATTTATGTTCATTATGAATAAAAGGATGGTTTCACTATAAATAAATTAAAGCTTTTCAAGTTATATATGCAGGCCTGAAATACAAATTCAAAATATTTAATTAAACAGGGAAAATACATTAAACTGCATAGGAGTCAGAACCGGGGGGGGGGACTTTTCCAAATATATACTTAGTATAGACATTGAACATATATTAGTAAGTTTAGCCCCCCACCGTCCACAGATACGTCTTAGTGTAGGTTAAAAATGGGGAAAGTGGTGGTGGTTGGAAGAAAATTTTTGGTACTGGAGTTCGAACCAACCCCCCCCCCCCCCCCCCCCCCCCCCCACCGAAATAGGATTTTCGTGTTTGGGAAATAGACATTTCCTTTTTTTTTTTTTTTTGCTTGTCAGGTTTTTTTTTGGAGGTAGAGAAAATTTTTTTCTTTACACTTAGCCCCCCCCCCACTTTCAATTTGCTTCCGACGCCAATGAACTGTATGTATATTTTTTCTTGTAGTCATCATTTTCATTGATACATGTGAACATACCTCAAAAATGCTTAATATGCTGTGTTAAGAAATAAATTAGGCACAAACGTACCCAGCCCTTGGTCAGTGCTGCCAAGGCAAAGGCTGGGACAAGTAAAACCAATCATCAGGAAAAAATCAATAGGAACTGAAATGATTTTAATGGTGATTTTAAAAGATTTGAGCTGAACTTACTTACATGTAACTTCTGTGCCACAGGGCCGATTTTGGGCCGATTACACAGTTGCGTAGAGTGCCACGGGGCAGATTTTGGGCTGATTTTATTGAAATAAACACAGGTGCTTGAGGACAGGACCCCCCCCCCCCTTCGATATAGACCCCTGGGCTTTTTCGTTTTTTTTCTCATAAAAAATCTTTCATTGCCATATTTATGATAAGATCTATACCAGCAAATCGAAAAATTACCTCAAACAAACGTTCTCTTAAATCTACCCTACATTCTCTATATAAAAATCAACATAGAGAGGGTAGATATTTTTATAAAATGTAAGTTTAAGCAAATTTTCTGAATTAATAGGATAGATTCTATCACAAATGTGTCATCCATATATAATCTATGTGAAAAAAGTCGAACAGCCCCGGGGGTCTATATTGGGTAGGGGGGGGGGGTCCTGTCCTCAAGCACCTGTGGAAATGAATTGTGACTTTGTATTTCTTTTACCTAGCTCTATTCAACGTTAATAATTATTGAACTTTTGCATCTTTTTATTGCATAACATTAAAGGTTTATGGCTTATGAGTAGAATATCATGAAAATTTCGGGCAAATATATGGATAAACAAAGTGAAGTTCATACCAGCAAAAAGCAACGGAAGTGCATAGAGAATGTATGATAAAACCCGTGAGAGATTATTACGTCAGTCCAAAACTCTCTCGGACGTTATCCTAATAAGTAAAACATTCTCTATGCACTTCCGTTGCGATTACCTAGGGAAATTTCAACGTTCTGGACTGGAAAACTGTTTAAGGAGATAATCAGATATTGTGGGATTCTTACGAGATGCAGAGTTAATCGGAAAGTATGCACTAAGACAGAAATATATGTAGAGACGATGTGAATCGACATTTTAGATTGAAATAAAATAAATACATGTTTTTAAACCCAGAAAGACCAGTGGGGGTACAACGTAAACAAACCGGAGTGGCATACCTTTCTCCCTTATAATGTATAGTGGGGTATTTTTTTTTTTTTGTAGAGCGATTGTTTTGGGGTTTTGACGATTTTTTCATATTGTACACATAATGAATAAGTGTAATAAATATAATTTTTGAAAAAAAATGTTCAACAAGCCCCGGGGTTGAATGGGGGGGGGGGGGGGGTTCCTGTCCACAAGTACCTGTGGGCGAGGACTATTGAAATTGGCATGGAAGTTCTCGTGTGATTTAAGTCTATGTCTACATTTTTAAAGTCTAAATCTACAATTTTATTTCACAATGAAATGGAAATATAAGGAATCACTGTCTAGTTTTGAGAGTATGCCAGGGACATCAACAATAGTGGGAAACATGGGATAATTTTAGCATAACGGGCTTTTTTTTTTTTTTTGCTTTTAATCCCAAGATACACATCTTGAATGCTTTCACAATAAATAACATAGATATAAGATTTTTATATGATATATATAGGATCTCACATGATTTGTAGTTGGATATGATTTTTATCGAACGAGTTGTGTGGATTTTATCCCCGAGCCTTGGCGAGGGGATAAAAACACACAACGAGTTGGATATCAGAAAATCATATCCAACTACAAATCATGTGAGATTCTTTTTATCCCATGTTTTTTACCCTACAAACAATGTTTGACACTTTTTATATAGGACTCCATTTCATTTTACTTCATCACTCTAACGCAAAATCCATTGTGACGTCACAACTGTGTGATATGAAAACGATATCACATGAGCTATATCAACGGGATAAAGGGTTAAACATGGGATAATATATATATATATATATATATATATATATATATATATATATATATATATATATATATATATATATATATTCATGTTTTTCCTTTTTTGCTGACTAAGCAATTTACTTCATTTTGGAATTATTCAGTGTCAAATTACTCAAATGCTGGACCTGATACAGACATGGCGTGTATATAATTTAAGAGCAGAGGATTTGTTCTTTTAGAATTTGAATTCAGAAGGGTATAATTTTTTGAACTTCATATTCGTTGCCTAGCAACAAAAATGGATGTTTTATGAATAAAAAAATATATAATATGTAAAATCCTGAAATCATAAACCACATAACTTTGTATCTTTAAATTCTAAAAACAATTTTCAAAAGAAATATAAATTTCTAGACTTAAATTTCTAAAAACCAGGGACCATTTTACAATTTTATATCTCCATGGTAACATCAATTTCTCCTTAACAACACATCATAAATGATACTACTAGCACCTTCATGTACGATTGTTAAAGATTCTTCAATCATTTTTAGCTCACCTGAGCCGAAGGCTCAAGTGAGCTTTTCTGATCACATTTTGTCCGTCGTCCGTCCGTCCGTCCGTCCGTCCGTCTGTCTGTCCGTCTGTCTGTCCGTCTGTAAACTTTTCACATTTTCGACTTCTTCTCAAGAACCACTGGGCCAATTTTGACCAAACTTGGTACAAAGCATCCTTGGGTGAAGGGGAATTTAAATTGTTAAAATGAAGGGACATATCCCCTCGCAAGGGGAGATAATCAAGAAAGGACAAAAATAGGGTTGGG